CTCTTTCCTCTTGAGTGGCAGCATTAGTTATTTTCTGTGCCAGATGTTTTTATGAGTTGCCTCACTGTTTTGTTGGTGACCAGGAAGGTTCGTCATGAGCCAGATTCAAACCACTGTCTGAGGAGCACACCTGTGCTCTCCCCTACCACAGTCCATGTGTCTTCACTGTGAAAGAGAAGGTTTTAAAACTGTCACTAGAACTTTCAGAAAGGCTAACTAGATTCTTCCATCTGGCCAGTTTAGACTTTAGAGATCTCCCTCTACCCCTATTAAAATAAACAAAACCACAGCTCAGTCGTGCTACCTTCTGAGGCCTTTCGAGATTAACCTACTTCTGTTTTTCCCTCTCAACTTAGATGGAAATTTTTTTAAAAGAATTCTTTATTTATTGTTAGTGAGTTAGTTAGTTTAGTATCCATCCATCCATTCAACCACCAGGTCTAGTCCAACTGCGGTCAACTATGTGGGAGTCCAGTGTCTTCACCACCACACGGACTGCCAACCCATAGAAGGAAATGTTTTGTACTAGACTTTCCCACTAGATCCCGATGCTTTAACTGTCCCTTCTCTATACTTTCCTGCTATCCTTTCTACTGTAAATAATCGTCTGATTATTTCTACTGAACACTACTATGAACGGAACACTCAATGGCTGCTAATGTTAAGGTGACGTCTTTTTATTTTCTCCCTAGATACAGGTTTGATCCTCGTCTCATGTTCAGCAATCATGGCATTGTCAGGACTCGAAGGTTTTCCAAGCACCTCCTTTAGTGACTGCACCAGCTTCTGCAGTTGGATCCCTGCACGCCTCTTTCCGATGGAGTGATTGTAGTAGGTGTCTGTAGCTAGTCTTCAAGACCACTCCTGGAAGAGCTTCTGGACTGGCTTTAAGTCCTGTTTTAAAAAGCAGCCCAGGCAGCTGACTTCCTTGTGCAGTGTGTGAGACTGTGAACTCTGCCCAGATGTCAAGAGTGCTGTCCCCGGTGGCGGGCAGCGTTTCCCTTCAGCGGATCAGAAGCACTCTTGAGGTCTTTGTTCTAACCATATCCTTTCTGTCCTGGGGCCACAGTTCTTGATATTCCATATGGTCAGAGTCTGAATTTATAAATCCATTCGGATAATGGCAATGCTTTAGAACAAAAAATGAAAAAAATCAAAAACCCCACAGACCTTTTTGGTATGTAGCTTGACCTAAAATCAAAGGACCTGCATAGCATCTCAGATCAAGCACTTCACTATCCAGATCCTAACATCACATTGCTTGGAGAGTAACCCTGAGAACTGACCCGTCTGCTTCAGAACAAGTACCACTGATTTTAGATAAGTAAGGAGATACTGTTTATAATGCCCAACACAGTGATAAGGTGGCAAATCCCGACCATGTCAGTGAAGCTCCATTTTTTTGTTTGTTTGGTTTTTGTTTTGTTTTGTTTTGTTTTTACAATTCTAAGTTGGTGCTGCACTGAAATAGCAGGCAGCTTGTGGGAAGGCCGAGTCCAGCTAGCTCTCGTCGGTGATCGCTGTCTAGGTCCCAGTGGCTGCTAACCACAGGGAGTGCCAGGTAACACTAGCAGCTTTGAAGTATCTCTGCTCTGGAGACTTTCCCCTCTGAGATCTGAAAAATAAAGTGGCTTAGGTATGTCACTGGGGAAAAAGACCTGCTAAGGGTTGATAAGGGCTGTGTTTTCTGAGGACTTTCTGTAGATGGGGCTCTTGAGTTGACAGTATGAAGGGCTGTACTGGGGATGAATGAAGTAAGTGCCTGTCCAGAGAGGAGCCCGAGTTTCAGTTCCATGCATGAAAGTCCTTTTGACCCTACCTGTGTTCTGCTGCTGTTGTGTTTCATTTTGTTTTTGATGTAAAGCTGTCTTAGAGTTAGTATAGAGTATCAACTACTGTATCCTGCCGCCTTCTCCCTCTGCAGACAGGTTCTTCCTAAATTTTTGGAGACTTGTATAATTAGGACCCTGTTCAGTATTGCCCTGTCAAAATCAGATTGGTTTAGGTGTCCTCACTGTGTAGGCAGAAGAGTTTTGTGTTCCTTGACTTGAAGACCAATTCCATGTCTCATATTTTCTTTGCAGTAAGGCTAAATGGTGGTGGGACAGTGGTGAGGGAGAAGAACTGTGGTTTGTAACCCGTTCAACTCAGGCACTAAGTGATTTTAGCTTTATTTAAGGTCTTCTGTCAGGCTTTAAGCACTTTCTAAGACATGGCTGCAAGTAACTTTTCTATCCGAGTTCCAGATCGCCATGTTAGGTTAATAGCCATTGGGTTTCCTCCTTTACCTCACGTGACCACAGCAACTGTGGTGGTACCTAGAGGTGAAAAGGCAAATGAAATGAGCACCTCTACTATGAATGTTTTAAAGAAAGAAATTCTAAGAATTTTGTAACTAAAAGCAACCTACATTGTTGAATATGGTTATCATTGGCTTTATTCTCCACGTTGATTCTTGACATTATCAGTCAGCTTCCACATTAATGAAGGTTGACCTTAGTTATTCCCAAATAAAAAGAAACCAACTCTTACCAGGTCTTGGACTGTGATGTCATATTATTCAGTTTTACAATGCTGGTTCCTGAAAGTAGATGAAATCATAAGACTGACCCAGGTCAGCTGCCGTAGTATTTCTACTGTCCCGC